TTTTTGGATTTCTTTCCAGAACTATAATTTCCCATTTCTTTGTTTATATGAGTATCCCTGGGAAGGAAGAAGCCTGACCTTCATTTACAAATGAATAATTGATTAAGTATCTGAGCAATAATATAAAAAAAGCCCAAACCAAACAAAAGAAAAGAAAAAAGAAAGAAAAAGGCACAGTGCGTATTTTGATGACTAGTTCAACAGCAAATCCAGAGTCTCTCTTTCCAGGTATGCGTCATTCTAATCTCACTCTGTTGTCCCCCAAAGGATCAGTTGGGTTTGTAAATGCACACAAATATTGGAGAGTGGAAGACTCTCTTACAAATCCAACCCCTCTAACTTTTGTTCTCAGTACGTGTCAACCAGGATCAGCAGAGTGTGACAAGCCCTTTCAATGCCTTCATTTTTCTCTTCCATTTCAGGGTTGTCTTTTTAAGCCTTTTCTGGTTTTGCAGTAACGTGATGTTAATTCTATTATAAGTCAAAATGTTGACAGGCGTATGCTTCCTCTGTAGGTTTAGAGCTTGTGGGTGAATAGCATGTCTCTGTGCCACATTTAGCTTTGTGCTTTGCTGGAACAGACTGTTCCAATACATCAGTTTTTTTTCTCCTAGACCTCACCTTTCTGCCCATATGAAATGCAAGCTGCTTGCTGTTTCATATCTTTCTCCTTTATAATGAGCTATTTTTTTTCCTACACTGTCTTCTTCCTACTGTCACACCTTTTCTACACCTTCGAGCAGGAAATGGATCTCTTCAAGCCAAGTGCTGTGTCTGATTGCTGCTGCGTATTTAGGTTAACTATGGTGCTGTAGTTGCCTGGGGTCCCTGGAGAAGACCATGGATACCAAGGAGATGACCATATTTCCCAGGGAACTGAGAGGCATTGAATTTGCGTCCTATGTTTTGATGCCAGACTCTGGAAGGAAATTCTAGACATTTCTTGATGTCTCTGTTTTCTTGTAAGCAAGAGCTGCAGTTGCCATGGATATGTTTTGAGATCTTAAATGGAAGCAAAAGAGGATGAGAAGGCGTGTGCCGTGGTGCAGCCTGTGCATTTAGCCAACAGTCATTTCAGATGTAGACAGTTAGACCCCAACTCGGAAATCTGAAGTCCAGACTTATCTACTGAAGGGGCAGAAAGAACCTGGACAAACAGCAAAGAAGGATCGGTTGAACATGATTTGTGAGTGCCTACCAGTAGTGAATGCAACTCAAGAATCAGGAGTCAGTGGACCTGCTGCTCATGCAGCATCACTTCCTATAACTGGGAGCAGACCCCAGTCCTGGAATACCTTGCATCACATCCACTGTGTGCTGCTACTGGAACAGAGAGCACAGTCAAATGAAACGAAACAGCACAACTGAATTTCCTCTCCCTATTTATAATTCTGTTCAAGGGAACACAATGTTTTTCCTGGAAAAGAACCATCTTAAAACTCTTGGGTGGAATAAGAAAAGTGCATGTGCGTTTTCCAAACCATCTCCAGATTCAAGTGTTAATGTGGGAATAGATTTGGACTGAAAATACCCATTAATTTAATTTTTGGCAGGCAAAAGGCAGCTACCTGAGAGGCAACATAGGTAGTTAGGGCTCTTGAAGAAGTGCCTGCAGACTTGATCTGTGATTTGTGCAGTTGGCTGGACCATCAGAGGTGTACATATTGCTACATTTTTCCCAGTAGCGCTAGACTTTTTGGTGCTTAGTTCTCTTTTGTAACCATGTTTATAGTTGATGTTCTTAGAACAAAAAATGTTTTTTGAAGAGCTAGACCTGCACATCTTTAGATGTATTTTCAGGCATTGAAGAAGGGCATGGATAAATAGCCATGATTTTCTTAACAGGTGTATTGATGTGCTAGGAGTTTAAGAGTTTTCCTGTTCTCTCCACAAAATGCATTCACATTGCTTTGTTCATTATTTTGTCCAAGTACCTGCCTTGCTTATTCTCTTTGTACTCTGAGTTGGGAACACATCTCTGCAGGAAACACAAATTTATAGAGTGGAATTTATTGATATAGATGTTTCATGATAGGTTCACATTCATGTTCTTAAAAATGTGAGATTAAGGCTTTGGGTTTTTTATCTTCCAAAGCACTAAATGAAGCGCTTACATTTCACATTTTATTCTTCTATGAAAAGCAAAATCTCCATAGGATTTGCAATAGTCTTATTTCTTTTCTTTCAATGCTGTTTGATGCCCTGTGAGAAATTTTGCCTTTGCTAAAAACAGCAGTGGACTCTCATCTTCAGTGACAGTGGGGTTTATCCCTGCTGTGTTGCGATATTTAGATGTTAGCTTGATAAACAGGTTGTGTAATTCTGAATTGCCTAAACTCTTGTTCCCACATAAGGCTTCAGGTTTATATAGTTATCCTATTTGTAAGTTTTTTTCTAGAGAAGAACAACTTCATGCCATGATGATGGTGCATTTTCCATCTCTGGACTCCTGTGGATGAGCAGTGAGGCCTGACAGAAACATTCCATGGCAGCTAGCGGGCTCTGTTTAATAGGCTGGATCTAGTTTCCTAGTACAGCCTTTGAAGCTGGGGACACGGTCTGGAAAGCCTACCCTCAGTGCCTTGCTGAGATCTGTTTTTTCAGTGAGTGGGTACCATTTCACCTCTGAGATGCCCCAAATGCCAGTGATGACTCCTTGCTTCGGAGGGTGTTGGCGCTGAGCCCAGGCCTCTGATTTCAGATGAGCCTGACAGATTTCTCTGATTTAATTTGGAATGGTGCCTCCTTTGGCACAAATCATTACAGAAGATAATTTTCTGTTGGAGAAACAAGCTGTGCCTGGTACAGTCTCCTAAAACTATGCTCATGCTGATCTATCTTCTCCTCTTCCATTACCATGGATATTAGGCAGGCCCTTGAAACTCCTGGGCTCTCACTCACCAACCTATCCTGGAATCTTTTAGGGTTGTTGTGCTTTGGGAAGGACAAAATCACTCAGGGATCCTGTAGACACCACGTGTCCCTGTGTTCTTGTCCCTGCCCCTCTCCCCAGTGTCCCCCCATGACTCCCTCTCTCCCTTCTGTCCCAGTTCTTTGCCTACTACTCCTTCTTGATATGTTCTACCCATTGCTGCAGCATCACCTGATGCCCCAACCCCACCAAATCTCCGTGCTCCCCTGGGCCATGCAAAGGTGACACCGAGTCTGGGTTCAGCCCACAGCAGGAAGTGCAGCCATGGCTGGGTCAGTGTCTCCAGCATCATCACCACATCCTAAAGGCAAGGAATGCTGAGGACTCCAGCAGCTAAGGTACTGATGAGCCACAGAGACTCCCAGGACCACGTCATTTGAGTATGCCAGGGACCCCATCATCTGGGGCACCCACCTCACCTCTGGGGACTCAACTGTGCAGCTCAGTTTTAACAGTGTGTCTATTTATAAAAAAACTTGATATTGCATAGAAAAAAGTGATCTTTGTAAATAATTGGTTGAAAAATGTTTCTGTGTGCCACAGTATATATTTGACTCACTGCATTCACTAACAAGTTTTGCCAGTGAATGGACAAAGTCTTCTGTGTGAATTAAGGAACTGTCAGATTTCCACCAGATGAATAGTTACGAAACTGAGGATATATGTACTGCACTATTTAATATATAATAAAATTCTTTGATGAATATGTGAGCTAAGATTGAGGCTGCTAATTTAATCACTAACAACAGAGTCTATGCATGTGGAAAATAATGCTTTTGCATTGAAACTTTCATCGTTGCCAATTTTTCCATGCAGTTATTATTCATGCAGGGATCCAAAAAAGACTGTTTACCTGGAGGCAGGAACAAAACTGCGAAAGCTTTATAGGCAGCTGGGCAGAGAGCTGTGGTTCTGACTTTGCTGACAGAAAAAAAGTGATTTCGTACGGGAGCAGAGTCTGTGACGTTTTATTGGAAAAATCAGTCAGCTGGAAAACTCTTGATCAGTCATACCCTAGGTGTTACCTCAACTGGTTCTGCACATCTTATTTCCCAACTCCCAGTACCAGTTTCAGGTTTTGGAAGGAGGACTGTGACTCTGCTGGCCAGTCCTGCACCTCCAGTGCACTGATGGCTACTTAAAATGGCTACTGATTTCTCCAAAACAGATTGTATGGTTTTGTATGAATTATACACTTGCTGCAGGTTGAATAAATTTTGTGTACACTGGTGTCAAGAGACAGAAAGAATAAATAGCCTCTAAGCAGACAGAAGGCTATATTTAGGTCTAGGCTGAGTATGCCCTCTGCCTGCCAAATGCAAAAAATCCAAACCAAAATGCTTTGTTTCCTGCTGGAGGCTTACGTATAATTTTTTCCTCCTTGTGTTTCAAAACTTTCAAACATGGTTACAGCCTAGTGTCAGGCAGCTGCACAGTCCTTTCTCTGTGATAGCCCTGATAGCATATGATGTGACTTCCACACTGTCGGAGCCATGGAGCACTAATGTGGGCCCTCACTGTCCCTGCCCAGCCTCTCCTGGGGCCTCTCCTTAGCCCAACCCATGGATCCGTATCACACTTGAGTCCCTGGTGCCATAGGAAGCTGATCTCCAGCTCTGCAGACACGGCTATGCCAAGCCTGACCTGATCTACGTGCTGACATTCTGGCTGGCCTAAGCCCAGTTCCATCCCCAAGGCCCTGCCCAGCCATCCTGGAGCTATGTCTGCTCCTGGTTCCCTGCTCCAGACCTGAACCTGACCCCGCCCATGGGGATACATCCTGTCCTGGTGTTGTCCTATCCCCATGCCCAGGGAGTTGTCTGATGGCTGGAGCTGCCCCCAGACTTCCCTGGTGCCTGGCTGGGGTGGTAGGACAGGTACCCCAGGGAACACCCACTGTCTTTGGCCTTCACAGGGCCCTGACACGTGGTGTTCAACCTTACAAACACCACCACGGAAAGACCCCTTTCACCATTTCAGCTAAGAAAGGTTAATCCAGAAAGATCTTGGGCTAAAGGGTACAGAAAGGACTTCTATGATTCCTGCTTGATGATTTTTTCTCAAGAGCACAAGACTGCCCTTTAAAGAGGCAGTGTGTCTCAGGGCAGCATGCCTGTGTCACAGCAGAGTATAGAGGTTCCTGAGCTAGTTTTAAGTGAACTGCACTGGATATCGTAGAGGAATCCAACTGTGGCACTTCAGCATGGGCTAAATTTACCCTGCTTCTCTGCACTGTGGCCTTACTCTGGTTTAGAGGTTTGACAAATTGTCGGCAGGTCTGAACACTTCAGGAACAGCCCGGCATTAATCCCAGGTTCAAATAGGAAGTAAAGACTGCCAAAAGACATTGGGAAAAGAAAAAGAGCTGCTTCTCACCAGCATTTAGAGGACTTCAACCTTTCAAGAGGAGGTTCTGAGCTCCTGATGAGAGCAGACTTTCATAAACTGTGTTCCAGTTTTACAATTGTATACCCAGGCCAGATCTTTTGTTCCCAGAACTTCTGAAGTTGCTTAAAAAAAAATCAGTTATTGAAAGCCTCTTTTTTTCTCCCCTTTTACCAAGACTGAGTCTTCTTAAATAATGCTGAGCCTGTGCACTCTACTCTATCAGGAGTGAAACTGCAGCTTATCATGAAATGGAGAACCACAGCGTACACCTTTGTGGGGAAGACAGTTGGAGAGATAGGAGAGCAATTTCCCCTTCTGTATATTGCCTCCTTCTCTGTGCAGACTATGCATAGATAGCAGAGGAAAACTACCAAATCCATAAGCCCAAACTGTTTGGAAACACATTGTATCATGACAGTCAGGTTGCTCAGGTCCCATTTAATGCCCAGCACAAAGTAAAGCTTCATGGCCTGCTGTTTCAAAAAAGGGTAGTTTATTTTAAATCTTTCAGTACATGACTGATTCACTGGGTCATCTGTGTTTTGAATGCAGCAGATTCTGTCATGTGGGTACGTGTGTATATGGTGTATACATGAGTGAGGAAAGCTAGGGGTGACTAACTACTTCTACTTCTCATTTCTATGAACTAGAGATCTGAACGTAGAGATATATATAACCTGAAGCTAAGAATGCAGTAAATTACTGGATGGTGAGATTAGAAGTTTTTTATATAACCCAGTGGAGAAGTAACAAAGAGTTTTTCTACAACGAAATGCTTATTTCCAGTATCCAGCAGAATGCAGGTCTCCTATCTGAACCGCAAAATCAAAACTGACTATGAATGACCAAGGGAATGAGACAATTTCTTTAGACAGACAGGTAAAACACTCAAGTCTTTGATCTTGGACTGCAGAAAAAATACTGCTCTGATTCAATTGTCACTTAAATGGGTATAAATCAGGAATAGCTTATGTAAATCTTACATCTGTACTGCACCTTCTGGTAAGTCTCATGGGCTCAACAATGATGTGATCTAATTTCAAATGTCATTGAGTATTTATTCAGAATGAGTTTTACAAGACTTCTCTGGAGCACTTCTCTGTTTGAAAGGAGAAATAGGTTAAAAAAAGGGTCATTTACAAGGAAAAGACAAGGCAAGAACACTCAGCGTGAGGGCCTGGTTTGATACATGACAATGTTTAATCCTTACTGTTCCTAATCCTTCAGACCAGACTTGCAACACTGGAAGCTTTTCAGTTCTTACTCTGGGACTTACTGACTACTAAGAGGACAGAGCAGTCCCAGTCTCCTCATTTAGTGTTGGCTTAATAGGAACAATGTAAAGGACAAGATGCAGCATATGTTAAAAGTACATGCCTGTGGGTTACATATGTCATGCAGCTGGAAGGTTGCTGCCTTACAGAAGTAATAATATGGCCAAGAAACAACCATTATGATCAGGCATATGGGCAGCCAAGTGAGTAATGCTGCCAGGAGGAATGCCTACAGTGCAGCAGTTGTGAAATACTGATTACAAAGTCCTGAAGTAGCTGCTTGCCCCTGACAAGTCATTTCTGCTGAAGCAGGAGTCTTTCCAGGCTGATAGTTTCTAAATGCTCTTTCAGGCTTATGCATTTTGGATGTCTTTAGCTGAAGCTGGTTTGTTCTTCCTATCTATATCTGCAATGCCTCCTATCATAACCTATCATTTCAGCTTATCATCACCCTCCTGGGAATCTTTAGTTCCTCAACAGAGTTGACTGGAAACCTCCCCTCGTGCATCATTTCCTGAAGAGTTCAATCAGCTTAGCAGGAAAGACTGAAGGCCAAAACCTACAAATAAGATAAGCTTTGTTATGGTAAAGAGAACACTAAATGTATCTGCTGCTTTTCTTCTTTTTGATTTTTCCCCCCTCCTCAGGGTATGTGAAAGGTGAGGATGAAATCTGCCTCTGTCAGACACTGGCTGCTGTTAAAAATAGACATGTCTCCAGTAAGATGTTTTGGGGATGGGGTTTGATAAGGGTTTTTTATATTATAGTTAAGGATACATTCATGTCAAATTGCTGGCAATCTGATCAAAGCTATCACTTTGTTCTCCTACTTTTTCTTTTCTTCCTTTCCCAGTTACATGAATACATGGTTGCTCAGAAATTTTATTCCTTATTTTAAATAAGCTCTTGGTACAATAGTCCCAGCAACCCAAAAGTAAAGCAAGTTGTTATGCAAGGTTAAACAATGAACATGGTATGTTCTATTTATTTCATTTAGCCAGTACTAGAGCTTTATCCCAAGAATATTTGATTGTTGTGAGAAAAGTCATATTAATAATATTTACGATAAAACTGAAACCAGAACTTAATAACATTAATGTTCTACAAAATCATGTCTGCTTCAAAACAGCCTTAGGATTTTGACTGCATCTCATTCAGCACAGCCATATTCATAATTTTCTGTGGGCTCCTGAGAGTTATTTTGTTGCCCTTGAGGGTATTGGTGCTAGTTCTGCCTGCAGTCTGCTCAGCCCTTCACTACCAGAAGTGTTTGTGAGATGCATTTTGTCATGTATGTGGCCTTGTGAGGTCTCCAAAAAAAAAGTGTTAAATTTACATGACATTCTTATCTGTTGACAGCTACATTTTCCTAATCAGAAGAAGCAAGTTCAGAGTATGGTTGTTATTGCTGCTCCTGTTATTTTTAAAAATTCCTTAGGGTAATTGTGCCAAATGTCACTATTTGAAGAAGGTGAAGGAGCTGATCAAGTTAAATTCTGAGATTGCTTTGTCATCATAAAAGGGTAAAGAGTGACTGCAAATATTCTTCATGAAAAACAAATGGAGTATCTGAGTTTTTTTCCACTGGTTTTGCTTGAGTGGAGTAAATCCCAATTCACGGTGGCGGGCACGAGAGAAGGGCAAGAATCCTAGGCAAGAATCCAGGGAAAATGTATGCCAACACTTGTAAATGAAATAATTGAGGGTTGGTTCCTCCCTGCACACTTACGGCTGGAAGTCAGTGACAATTAGTGATGAAAGTCACTTTTTCCCCTGGCAGAACTTTGCCTGTTGGGGTTTGTCATTTTCCTGTTGGGGTTTGTCAAGTGCCTCTTCTGGAGCACAAATGACACTACAGCAGGCAGCTGCTAATACCTTTTACTCTGTACAAGAAAAGCTATTCCCCTTCACCCTTGATGTTTCAGAGTGGAGCTTTTCTAAGCTAAGTGCACAGAGTTTTAAAGAAGGGTAAATATGTTAGTGTGTATATCATACATACACACACATAGATATATATACGTATTAGGGCATGCTTATAGTTTATTAATGTTCTTGTGGCTGTAAATACTGATGATATAGGAAAATGTAACGTGGCCTTGTAAAAATAATTTATTAGTACATAGTAAACTACAGGATCCCATTGCAGTTGTTACTTATAATTAACAAAATTAAGTTTCCCAGACACAAATGGCAACTATTGTGGTTTAACCATATTTTGATTTTTGGTTGTTTAAAAATTTCTGTGACTAATCTCTTCATTATAAGTTCAGGGTTAACTTGAGTAATGCGGTGTTGAGAGCAACTGAATCTGCTCACTTGTGCTGATGACTCCAGACCCCCTGCACATCTTCAGTGTGTAGCTACTGCTCTGGAGCACAGATACTTACAATTGTCTGGCTTTCACTGGCAGGTATATAGGAAATTAGATGTGGTATTTGATGGCTCAGTTTCATTTTGGGGGGTTTACAGTGTTGATCTCAGCAGAGCTTAGACCATGTGATCATACTGAAATGCAGTATTGGACAGAATTGAGAAATATGCTTATTCAGAGATCTAACTGTCAAGCGCTCTAAAAACTTCTCTGTTGGATGTGGATACCACTGCTGGGAGCACAATAAAGAAGAAATATTTGCATTAGGAATTATTCTGTCCTTACTCAGCATCTTTTTGTAACTGCATCAGTAGCCAGAACTTGCCATGCTGCTGTGTGAACTCATGAATGGATTGGCATTGACATAGTGAGTCTTTTTTCCAGTGTCAAAACATTACAGTATGTTTAGAGTTGCCCCTGGCTAAAGCCATTTTAAGTGAGAGAGAGAGAGAGTATGAATGTGATTTACAGTAAAGGTCTTTTCTTCTTTGTAGATCACTGAAGGGTGGAGGGAGAGCCTCCCCCTGCCCATCTGTGTGAACTCGGCTATTCTACACAGTAGCAGGAGCTGGGGTTCCCTGCAAGGTAAACTGGTTGAATGCACATGTACGTCCATAAACAAGGGGGTAATTGTATGCCTAACAGAATAATCTCAAAGTATCAAGAATTGTGATATGTGATAGAGATGAAAGATGGGAGAAAGGGAGAATGGAGACAGAACCATAATAAAGTCTCTTTTGAGTAAAGATCTTATGATGATATGAGGCTTCCAATGGGAGTGGTGTCACTTCAACCCTTACCTCTTCAGGAACAGATTTCCATTCATATCCCAGCAGTTGGCTCTGTTAATGGGACATCTCTGTATGGAACAGCTGCATTGGGAGGGCAGGATATGTCATGTTGGTGTCAGTCTCCATACCAGGCACAATGCATGAAGAAAGCCAGTTTATGCTAGCAAAGCAAAGAGTTAAGTTCTCCTTACTAAAGAAAAACATAAAAATGAGGAATCTCAAACTCTATTACATCTGGCACTTATCCCTTGGTTTGGAGGATATCTAAAGCACCTCTCAGCTTCAGAAAAATGAAGAGACCAATTTAGAATTTCTCTAAGATGGTATTTTTCAGTGGGCCGCTATCCACTTCTAACCACTGTTTGGTAGAGAAGAATGATCTCTTTTTTGTTGAGTGCCAAGGAAGCTGTAAAATCTCTTTCATTCAGAATAGTAAAAAATAAGTGGCCACCAAGGTGCAAATACTCTGTGGCAACCCTGTGGCTGTTGGAGAGCATATCTGTGTTCTGCACATTCTGCAAATATAGCAGCTGATAAGGAAGATGCAATAAGCTCCATCTATCAAGCTGTTACCTTTTATATAAAGGTGAAGACAGCACAGTTTAATAACTGGGATTTTTAAATAGCCCCATCCTTCTAAAAAGCCACAAGACATCAGCTGCAATTATTACTGGAAATCTTGTGTTTGCACAAGAAAAGCCACAGGCCTTAAGTTTATACTCAAATCATGCAAGTATTCTGCATCGTTTTCTGAAAGATAACACTCTTCACTGTGATATAAGTAGTGTCTCCTGTGCTTGATAGAAGCAAGAAGGCTAAACTGGTTACAGAGATCTATTTTTCTAATAACATTTCTTCTCTATAAACCGTGAGGCATGTCAGTATCACCTTCAAAACATAAAATATGCATATGTGCTTGTAGATTTTATGCATTGCTTACACATCTTATGCTACAACTAATATGTCTTAGTCAGCTTTCTAATGTTATGTGACCCCTCACTCTTGCATTCCAATGTCATCACTCTCAGACCGTTAAACATTAACTTGATAATTATTTTGAAAAACACAACCTGCCTTCATTAACCTTTTGTAAGGACACTTGGTGTTAAAATATGACATTACCTAGTTCTAAGCCAATGTGGTGATGCACTTAATGCTTTATTGCTCTTAATGCTGTATTACCAGATATAATTCACTCTTTCTTATAGATAATGAAATCATTATATATTTATTTGGCTCTTGGGTCTAAGGTCCAGGTACTTTGATGTTTATTACAGAAGCTAACAAAACATTTTGGTGGGGCATTAAATCCTTAATTACTTTCTGTTTAGAGATGTCCATCACTGCTGAAAATGCTAAAAATATCAACAATGATTCCATATCCTCAGTGAGACTGAAGCTGGGCAGTTCCCTGTGTTTCTTGCTAATGTTCAGGAGAGGATTCCTCTCCCATAGTTGTATTTTCCTGAATAATTGGTCTCAGCTGTCCAGTTTGGCCTTTTAATGATTTCAAATGTTTTATGATTTAATAACAGAAATTAATAAAATAAGCTTGATACCAGTTTTGGCCTAGGGCTTTCTTTTCCTCACTCTGCACCAGTAGTGAAGATGATTGCTTTTCTAGCAGTAATATTCTTCCTAGGCATCTTTTCTAAAGAGTACTGTAGAGTTCATCACTCTGCTCTGAATTTTTCTTATTTGTCTAGGGAGTTTGGGGTTTGTGGGTTTTTGTTTTGTTTTCCTTATGGTTCATGCAAGAACTTAGTCCTAGGCTAAAGATGTATAAACAAGAAGGGAAATAATGGGGGTCTTATCTCTCAAAGTAATTTACTTTATTAATTTTTGGTGCTGATGAAATACCAAGCAAACTCATTATTTACTCAATTGAGGAGAAGAAGGAAGAGGCAAAGAAGAGACACTAGCTGTCAGATGGTGAGCCTTTCCAAAAAGCTTTAGACCAAACTTTAAGGAACACTCGATGTAGACAAGAACAGTATTTCTCAGTAGGTGCAGTTCTTTGATCTTTCCTGGGATGTCCCCTATGACAAGAGTTTGTGAGACACTGCTCTGCTGTAAGCTGTCAAAACTGGATCTGAGCAATGAAATGAAGAAGGAAAAGCTGTCCTTATTTTCCTGCTCATCTACATCTCTTCCTTTTTCCTGTAACTCTCATGGTCTGGCTGAGCTGGGGTCACCAGTGAAACTTCTGTACCTTGTCTGGAGATGGGCAATGCATTGACTCTGAAAATGACACCAGGAACAATTATCCATACAATGATCTCCCACAGTAAAGCCCTGGATGACAAGGTTAACTTAAAGGTCACACAGCTATGTACAGGCATCTGAGCTGGGTTTCCTTGTTGTATCTGAGCCATATGGCACTGCAATGCAGTGCACAGGTGGTGTTTCCTCATTCTAGATACATCAGAACTCCAAAGCAGGCATAAAATAGAGAGGCACATTATCTCTGTGGAGTGCTGATGAAACTTCTGCAGAAATTCTGTATCTGCTTCTGGTATATTTGTCTTTAACCTGCAAGGAGTACAGACCCTGAAAAATATAAAATCTCTTTTGTCTCTCAGTCACGGGCAACTAAGCTGCCTCGTGAGTGTTTTATGTACAGAATTCCCTTACTTCCTATCTACTTCAAAGTATCCAGTTGAAGTATGACAGGGACTGTGTCTAGGAGGATCTAGAAGGATCTTTCTTTGAAATCATTGGACAAATCAGATCCAAATCGCACTGATAGCTCTGTAACATACCTAAATCTTTCTCTTCCTTGGCTTCTTCCTCAAAGAGAACTGCCCTGAATTAGAATACATAGCGCTTTGCTTAATCTCTAAGAATAACATGCAGACCTGTTTTCTTTTCAGTGTAGTTGTGAGTCATATCTCAGGACTGGAATGCCAGTTTCATTGTCTGTATGTGCCAGGAAACAAGTGACTGCAGTACACAAACAAAGGAATTTTTATACATATAATTATCTGATTGTTGCTTTTACCTCCTAGTATGTAGTGATGGGAAAGCTTTTTTCCTCTCATCTATATGCTATAATGTTTGCAGGTGACTCTTTTGTGAAATGACATGAAACTTCCAGTGAAGTTTGTATGTGTTATGGATTCTACTGGAAATATGCACTTTTTCTGGATGTCATGCTTCTGGTAAGACACCAGAATGTTATACCTGCTCTCTTTGTTCCTCCATTTCCTGACTCTTTCTTGTGTGACACAGTTCTAGGCAGAGTAACCCAGGCTGATCAGGAACTAGTTGCCAACCCTCCCTGGGTATGGCCCTTCAGAGGAGCTCCCTGGTCTTCACAGCAGTGATGTGTGTGGCAGCAGAGCTTACTGGCAGTTCTGATCAGGTTGAAAGCTACATTGACGACAAACAAAACACTCCAAGCATCGTTTCAGATACAAACCCTGCTTAGAAAACAGTTCTCAGCAAACTGAGCTCACAAAGCGCTCGAGATTGAAACAGTAGAAATAATTTCTATGACTTCCACTCCCATTGCCAAGAAGGAATCAGGCCTTCTGGGGAACTCTCCAAACTGATCCAGATACAGAGCTGGGCAGGCAGAGAAGGTGAATGCTGTTGGCAGCTGGGCAGAGAGCCAGCTAGCAGTTCTCTTCCAGACTTTCATGGCTGCACAGAGCATAGCATCTCCCTCTACCATTTAGTAAATTTATGACATCACCAGCTGTTACCGGGGAAACACAGAAAATACAGATTTGGATCTTGGCAGCTAGGCATAAAGAGAAAATATCTTGGTCTTTTGAGGGTCAAAAAGGAAACCTGAAACAATTCCAGAACAACTTTGAATTGGAACAAATCAATAATTCCAAACCAAACAATTTAGCTGCTAAACTGACAGTATGGTTTCTATATTATGTCCCTCACAGAAAACAAACATGGGAGATCAAGTGCAGAACTTCTAACTTCATGCAGCTTAAACATATCCTTTGGACATAAGACCATTACTGTTGACTTAGAACTTCAGTTCTGATCAGTGGATTTAACAAGTTGCTTTTAGGGATGTGATATCCTCTGACCAATATTTTTTCAGAAAGTGCTGATAATTGCTGCTTCTTGAGAAAGAGTTTGCTGGTGTTTCACAGCAAAGAAAGTATGTAGTGTTGAGTTTTGATAAAATTGTGTGCAAATACCATTACTGTTGTGATGAAGTGTGTGCTTTTAATAGCTTTTAAAAATGTGGGCTTTGTGAGAATGGATGTCTTCAGACATGCATTTTGTGGCTTTTAGGTGCTTGAGATTTTTGAAGTTATGGGAATCATATTTTTGTCTTTTAGTAACATTAGCTGACATTTTATTTATGTTGCATGTTTAAATGAAAACACTGCTTTTAAAATGGATTATTATTTGAGTATTGGGTAGTTGAGGCCCAGCTAATATTAGCTCTTGTGCAGGTTTGTTTGATTTCATTCATGCTGTACAAAATGTACAGGTTTGGTATGTACTCGAGTTACCCAGAAACAAATGCATCTTTGCTGCAAAGGCAGATGGAACAAGCTCGAGTGAGGACTCAAGCTGAACTCAGGTCTGGGATTGTAACAGTTGCTTTTTCTCTATTCATACCTGCAAGGCTGTGGGCCAAACATGACTGGAGATCCCAGGTCAGAAAGGTAGAGGTTGTTATACTCACTAAATGTGTGGGAGATCTGTCTGGAGGGTTAAAGACCTGCGGACTCACTCTATTTGGCTGTATCTCCACTGAGGAGCAAAATTTTGCAGGAAAAAAATCCCCCCTATTGCTAATCTAGTGTCAAATATATCCATGATGGAGGTTCTTATGTGGACACTTAGCAGCATTTCTAGCAGTGTTCCACAACTGTTGTCTTAAACAGCATAGGAACGTGTTTAATTTTATTTGCATCCTCCATACCAAAAACCAGGCAAGATCTTCTTGCTAAACAACCAATCTCTTTCCCCTGTTTTGTTGGTGGCCTTGGATCCTGGAATTTCTATGTCACAAGAGCAGTTTGCATACAGTTTGGATCTTGTTATCTGGAACATGGTTCAGTGTTCCCTGTTGTGTCTTGTTTCAGTGGGATAATGACCAAGGAAGCTGCTGAGACATGGGTGGGTTGCCAGGGATATGTCATGAGAAAGCTGTCCAGAGTCATCTGCCCACATGCTGTGATGCTGGCTCCCATTTCCAAAGCAGGGTTGCAGACAGAGGAGATCATTAGTGCTCCAAAGAACTTAGCTGTCTATGCAAGTTCCTTTTTTTATCCTTTATAGTGAGTCACTTGGAAAGGCTCCTTTTTTGGTCCTCTTTAGTTCAACTGCTGGTTCCTTTTGCTTGCATGCCCAGTCACAGCCCTGAGACTGTGACTGGGGCTGCAACAGCCATTGGGCTGTCATGGTTTATCTCTGGAATGGTGGAAATATTCTTCTTCTTCACTTTTCTTCTCTAAGGACATGAAAGATGTTTCTGAAGAGGAAGGAATTTACTTCTTGGGAAAATTCATGTGCAACCAGGATGGAGTTCCCCATGCAGACTTTCAGGTGGTAGATTTGCTCTGAAATTCCCGTGAGGAGGAGAACATTTTGTCTTATGTGGTAAATTCATGGTATTGGCAGTCTCTGCCATGGTTTTAGAACTCGGTGCACTCCTGTGGCTTGCACATACATCTCGAGTACACTTTCCCAAAATGGTGTCTCCACTGAAGCTACTCTTCAGTACCCACAAGAGATCAGTACTTTGGCCCTGCACAAGCTTCGCACAGGCCTTTAAGAAAATGAATTAATATGACAAGACTGCATTAATCAGACCAATATATGATACTTATTATTTTATATTTGCTGTCACTTATAATTGTAGATTACTATAAGACACCTTCATCTTGTTACTGATGTCTTTTCTAAATGTGGTGCAGTGGAACAGGAGGGGCAGTGTAGTAGGACATACAGGGACAGAACAACAAGGAGCTTCTATATGATGCTCTCTTTAGCATAAACATATTGACTCCTGGACTCAGAGAAAAGGCAGTGAAGGAACCTCAGTGGAGAATATCCTTAGACAATAAACTAATTGTCTTTCTCATGCTTTCATCCTCCTTTTTTCCCAGGAGACAAATAGGAAGAATTATCCACACCTGAACCTGAGATTCACTTATGCTACATGTGTATTTATCAAATTCAACTGGATGGGAACCCTGTCCCCTGAAGAACATACTTGTGAAGAGCTAGAAATCATTAAATCTAGTAACTGCATTGATGTGAGCTGGTAACACAAATGGACACAGATCAGTTCTCTCCATTCCATCTGGATTTCACTGTGTTGAGAAAAGTGATAAAGAAAATTTCTGCTGTACTGGTTATGCTTATGATAGATGAAAGCCCCTCTAAAGATGACACTTTAATGTTCTCTTTCTTGACCTTCTGATGTATGTTCAGTCTTGGTTGCTGACTAAAGTAACAACACAGATAATTGAGCTTTTAAAGGCCCCATTTCATAAATCTAATAACAACACTGAGGGAAGCTGAGGTGTATTCTCTTCTTACTAGTGTATCATTAATATATCTGGTATCACATTTTCCATGTAAAATAGCTCCTAAAAAAAGGATCTGGGCTGACTTTCAGGCTCCAGTGGGCTGACCATTAGGAAGGAAATCTTCCTGCTACCTTCATTAGGAAGAAAAGGACGCTGCATGAGAGACACTTTTCGAAGTATGCCTCAGCAGCAGCCCTGTGTTGAGGGATTTGGTGGCCTACAGCTAGTAATACTTAGTGGTGTCCTTCAGAAAGGGGACACAAGCCAGTTTTGAGTTGCTATGCTCCTCTAAAGGGATTTTGCTAAAAAAGGAGAAGAATTTATCACCTCTTAGAAGATATTTTGGCTGTACTATGCAAGCAATTTAGTAAAATCTCTGTGAGTATTGGCAGTCTTTGAAACAAAAGAAGTAGGGCTGCTTTGTGTGCACTGAAGAATTTTTGCTTTTGACTCCACTGGAGCCATAATTTGTCACCAGATTCATATCCTGAAACCTAAAGTGCCCTTAAAAGGGCTACTGCAAATTTATAAATCATAATCACAGTCCTTGGTTGACATGACAACTGGTACCATCCTGTTTAGGATCTTGCCCTGCAAACCTGTAACCCTCTGTCTGTAGCCCACTCAGTACTCACCCATGAGATTGCTTTGTCCCCACCTATTTTTACAACTTTTGTTGATGACAAAGAACACCTTTTTTAAAAAAGTGCTTGAAGGCAAATTATACTCCTGAATACTTAGTGTTTTACTGCTTGGGCTTCAAACACTCTGTAACAAGCTGATTTGTTTAATGTCTACAGTCCTTACTGGAAAGTTTTTAAATTGTGTAAACATTCCTACCAGTTTTATGTGTTTCTAAACATTTTTTTTAATGTGGGTACAAATTTAACTTGACAGTGTACTTTCCAAGCTTCCATTAAATAGGGCTAACTTTTTATTGATAGAGGAATATCTCTGAAATAGCTTTATGATGTCTTGCAATGGAAGACTTTTCATTAACTCCGACTAGAAAAATAACCTACCATGTATTTGTAAGTCTTTTATCAGTTCTTACTGTATCGTAATGTCTGTGGGACCCCTGCTGGTGGAAAGGGGAAGAGACTGAAAAACTTTAAAGTTAATGGAGAAGGGAATATATTCTCACTGTACATTGTGTTTGCCAGCTACTGTTATCATACAGCCACCAAAGATCTCAGTGTTTTGAAACTTCTTACTTACAGGTTGCAGTTTGTTGCTTTCCTCACATAACTGTGTTTTACCTCCCTTCAAGTGTGCCAGTGCTGCTTTAAAACATCACTATAGAAATCTTCAGCTACACCATCTGGTTCCAGTTTTCCTTAATTTGGTGTCAGCCAAGCTCCTACAGTCCGGATGATTAAAAGGGACAGAGTTAAACCTGCTGCACTTTAGGGATTTAAGCCTTCCTTTTCCTCCTATAAATTCTGACCTTTCCAAAATGAGTTTTCTTTCTTTTCTTTTCCCCTAAGAAAGTGGAACATAAAGCAAATGTTTGATATTTTTACTGGTGGAGCCAAATTCCTATGTTCTGGCTGCTTTTCACTGACAGAAAAATTATTCCACAATAATTTGTCATTATTTCCAAAGTGATACTGTATGTTACTGTAACAATAACAACTAACTTGGCCTTTTGAGAGGTATATATTTTCTCAAGAAATTTCAGTCTAGTAGGGAAAACACTGATCATGATGACCTTGGGGGAATACAGCCTAAAGAAAGAAGTGGACGTTTGTGACTGTTTTGAAATCTCCTGGCTGGAACAGTTTCCTGTTGAGGCACTTTGTGCTTGTGTGACAACCCATGGAGGGGTTCTTCTGTGTGCTCTGTCTGCAGCCTTGGTCCTGAAAAGGTAAAGAGGGAGCAGGGACAGCCTCAGTCCCCTCTGCTGAAGGGCTCCTTGGGGAAGGAAAACACTGTGCTGTGCATAAAAAATCGGTGTAACTGTTATCTGATTGTCTGCCTGATTACAGGACTAAACAGAGTTAGGTTGGGTACCAGTATATGCCAAGTATACTTGTCCTCTGTTCCTCGTAGTATGACTGAGCCTTGGGATCAGTTATTTAGTGGGATCCTTGGAAAGGCTTGATGAGCTGCTGAATTCTTCCTTGTCTGGATTCCTTTGTTTAGGTTGCCTCGAATTATCACTGCATGTTATTATTTTTATACACGTACAACTTTTAAATCCACATAGATGACACTTTTTGTGCCAAAAATGCACTACGCACTTCTCAGACCTTGCAGCTGGTTGAGCACCAGTGAAGGAAATGAATTTGGTAACTGAGCTGGGAGAGAAAGGTGCTTGGAGATGCAGTTTCTAATGCTTTCTTGTAGATATTCCCATCAGACCACGTAAAGAACTTTTCCCGTTTATATTACGAAAGAAATAGGAGAATATAAAATTTTTAAAATCTTTTAAAATTAAAACCTTTGGGAGCTTAATTAAATGTACTGTGAGAAATATGTGCAGTTCACTTACAGCTGTTGACTTGAGGTTTATGCATTATTGCCAAGTCCTGGAATGAATAAAGCTTTAATGTTGGAACATTTGTTTTGTGGATTGTTTTAGGTTGAAGCAATGAGAAAATACATACCTAGATCCCACATATATACTAAAAGGAGAATTTTGGATTGCAGGTAATGAAGATGACTTGTTTAAAACCTGCAGTTCTCTTAAAAGAATTTTTCAATCAGTCCCTTAAAAATTCAGGAGTTTTCAATGACTGTGTGGGATGAACACAAAGAACAGCATCTTGTTAAAGTCAGATTTTGGTTGACATCCCGTAACATGTAGCTGAGATGTGGGTCATTTCGGCCTCACTCCCGTTGGATGCTGCCTCTCTGTTCCGCAGAATGACATGCCGGATTCTGCTAGAGACGTGCTGTGGGAGCCTTAGCGGAGCTTTGGTTCATCATAATGCCCATCCCTCCTCTGACCTGTACCTGCGGCACACCTGCTCGTCCACTCCTTTTCACCTGTTCATTTTTCCCCCTGCACGTCCTAAAGCGCTGTCATTCTGATGAGGAGGCCTCTCTTCCCTACTCATCCGGTGATCGCTCGCACATTCGCAGCAGCGTGTTCTCCCGGTGCGACCGTGTGTCCATCCCTGGTCCAGGGGGTTTCCCGGCCCTCGGGAGGCAGCTCGCAGTCCTGCCGGGAGCACCGGGAGCCGGCGGGGCCTCGCCTGCCCTCTGCCGTCCGCGCTGCGGCAAGTTGTACCTTGCAGGGATTTTGGAACCGCTCCTGTTTCAGGGTGGAAGAGCCGGAAAACCTCTCAGCTCATTTCTCAAGTGCGAGAATATGTTTGCTATTCTTTCGCGATGGACGCAGGCACTTTTATTGGCACATTTCGTTTTACAAAGACACACGGTGTTACCCGCAGGAGCACAGCATCTCCAGCAGCTGGTACCTGGTACTTTATGGAGTTTGGGGAGTAGCAGGGGTAAGAAACGAGAACATACAAAAGGGGACTGCAGAAGGGCAGCACTTAGAAATGCAAGTGTTGCTGCTATTGCTATTTTCTGCCTATACATGTAGGCAGAGAAGGCATGAAATAGATGGAAAGCAGAAATACTTCAAGAAATAACGGAATTAACTACTGGTGAACACATCTGCAACTGCAGCAGAGGGAGATGTTTTCAAAGTAAGGCAGAAGAAGAGAAAAAAAGAAAAAGAAAAGGGCATAAGAAGAACGCTGAGCACTCTAGTTCGAAGATGTGACTTGTGGAACATTACACAATAGCCTCAAACTGAAACAGAAGATGTATTATTCCATGTAATGAGAGGGACTAGGAAGAAAAACTGTCCAAAGACAGAAAAACATATCCAGAGAGCTAGGGCTGGAAAATTCTCCAGGGAGAACATCACAAAGACTGACCTCATGATGGCCTTCAGTAGAACTCAAAGCTGTGAAAATCTGGCAATTTTTTGTTTCTTTTAACTCAGGCTTTGTATGGAACTATTGTATTGGAAATGCCACAAGACTGTAAAACAAAATTAGTTATAAACATTTACTAGATTAACATTTAAAATTATTGTTACTGTGTTTGGGACTTTCAGGTAGTTATTCCTTAATTTGAGAATACAAAATTTTTAATTACTGTATTTCATGTAAATTGTAGATAGATGTGCACATTTGGGATATTTAACCCTGTCCCATGTTAGCTGCAGGCGACACACGTGGATACTACACTGATGCCCTAAGCTTGCTCTTTAGGAATGTGCCTGTTTGTTTGTCACTAAAAAAACTTGATGTTTTTCTTTAAGCACTGAGCTCTCTGCATCCATGCCAACTATATAAATGCCTTGTATTTTCAACAGGATATTTCCTACTTCAGAGCTATACTACCAGGAGGAGAAAATACACATCAGTGCTCAGCATCTCTAGTGCTGGTTGTATTTGCCATTGTTTGAGAGTAAAGAACATGTAAGTATGTATTTCTGGTGCATTCCCAGCAGCACTTTCTGTGAGTAACCAAACTGGAAGCAATATATTTTCAATTCTCAAGAAAATCTATTCTTTGTCAGTAAGTATGTAAATAATTTCCCTGTCCCAGTTCCCTTCTCTGGGACTGTTTGTCTTGGATGTCTTAAAAAAATTCAAGTGATTTAAGAGATTTCGGCAAAGCTGGTGGGGAAGAACTGGCCTCAGCAACAATGTGACAGCAAGCTGAGCAGATGAGGGTGAAGACAGAAGAGCTGATCTCCAGGCCATGGGGCCTTGCTTTGGTAAGTCTTTTCCCAAAAGCTGTCTGCCCACAGAAGACTTAAATGCTTTGGACTCTTACACTTTGGCCTGTGAGGGCAGGACACTCTTAAGTGCTGGACAGTTAAGCCTGATCAAATTAAGGTCTGGCTACATCAGCACCCTCTAAATCAGTACTGATCTTAATTTTACAAGGGATACAGAAGCATCAAACAGTTCCTGGTGCCTTTAGGAGTCAAGAATGATCAGTGCCTGGGACAACCTATGTTGCTGGTTTCTGTTGTTTGCTACTGTGTAGTAGATCTTCAGATACTCATCTTGAATTGAACCTATTTTAGCTAACTTTCTTACATTTTCTGTTTGTTTCTAAGCATTCCAATATTTGAATTCATGGTTAACCTAAGAGGACAGATTATCAGGCAGAGAATATAAACTGGTTGGCTTTCTCTCAGGAGAAAAAAGAGATGAAGAGCAGAAGGACTATGCTTGAGCAAGTACATGCCGGAGTCATTCTGGCTGTGTGGCTTTTGGAGAAGATCTGACAATGTAGGCAGGTTTGGGCAGCCTCTTGGAGTTCGTAAGGCTCCAAGAGTTTATGTGGCTTCACTCCACAGGGCATCTAGAAGTGGGAACATAATACAAGAGTCAAAGGTCCTGGAAGAGTCACCATGAGTTTTCCACTCCTAACCCTGGAAACCACTGACACTATTCTACAGATCTTCCTTCGTTGGTACAAAGGCATTTCTGTTTCCTTTGCTTCACTCTTTCCCTGCTTGGTGCAAGAGGCTCTGATGTCAAGCAGCAAAGAGTTGTCTTCTGTCTTGGTGCTGTGGGGTTCTGTGCTCCTCTAATAATATGCTGAGCACCTTGAATTTCTATTGGCATCTCCGAGAGCTTCAGGTTGTCAGAAATGTTGGGGCTCTGATCCCACCCAAACCCTCCTTTGAAGGCAACATTTGAACCCTTAGTTTCTCTCCTAGTAAACCAGCATATGTCTTTCAAGGGCACACGTCAACAAGAGCTACTACATTTATTCCATGGACGTGAGCAAGGAGACAATATTCCTTTATAATCTACTTGCTATTAACTCAATTTTCTATTTCAGTGGGAGAAACTCCCTTCCTTGGCAAAGTTCTCAGTGAGCCTGTGGTCTGTCTTGTAGACCATGGTAGATTTTTCTGCTTCTCCCCATGCTATGACTTTTTATGGCCAGTTTTGCCCAGTGTTGTCTAGAATTATATTATGAAATACAAAGGAGATCTGTGTGATTCCCAACCTCTGGCTCACACCCTCTCAGCATCTGTTTTTCCAGGTGTTTACAGTAAGGCTTTGCTTTGTTACCTGCTGCACGGTGTCATGATTTCCTGTTCACAGAGTTTTCCTCCTGGACTGAATTTTAATCGTGTGTGAGTGTCTGCAGGTGTGTGCAGGCAGACATGGATCCATGTGTGTGTGTGTTTTAAATTAGCTTCACTATCTTCAAAGCCATAGGAAATACTGTTCCATGGATAAATTGGTTTTATTCACCATGAACAGAAGAGAAAGTAGTAAGAACCAGGTAACTGAACTGGGCACAAAACTGGAATGAAAAGGTAACTAGAGAGACAGGGATTTCCCCTGGCAAAGAGGAAATACCATAATGACTGACTCAATAAAACTGGGCAAAGGTTCCAATCTAGGATTAATTTCTAAGGTCCCTGTCTATAAGACTTTTAATTGACAGGCTGGTGGTTTTCAGCATGAGCTCACCTGCAAACACCAGAGAAACAGCAGTAACAAGAATGGTATAAAATACATATTGATTCATCCATGGAGGTAGTCTGGCAAGGAGGATTTTTGACCATTCATTTCTGTAATTATGATCACAGATTAACCTTGCTTCAGGGAATCCAATCTACTCCGCCTTTAGATGTCTTTTGAATGTCCAAAGAGAGAGACTTCATTCCCATTAAAGCCCTGAATCCAGCTTCTGGCCCCTGTAGAAAGTCCCTCCTTTCAGGTATTGCAGGGATTATAGCTGAGAGGAGCACTGACTGCTATGGAAGGTGTGAGAGGCAGACAGAAGGCATCCTCAGAGCTCACCATGGGGCCATAAACCTACCTGAGCAGAGACTCTCATGAGGAATGGCAGCTTCAGCCAATGCCTCTGAAAGATAAGATAGGCATGTGAAAGGTGGACAAGAAGTAGCCTTATTTTTGCTACCTGGAGGTGAGACCTAACAGGGTTGTTAAGGCAGGCTGCCCAAAAGTGGTCAGAATCCGAGTTTCCTATCAACTACTACAACCTTTGTGTTATTGCACTTCATTGCTGCCAGCGTGAACCAAGGGCTCAGCATTTTGGAGGTGAAGATTTGGCATGTTTGTGGTGATGTCACTTTTTCCCTTAGAACCTTCAGAAAGAAATGAGATGTGCTGGATCTGTTTTGATCTTTTGGACCCATTAGAGAACAGATCTGGTAGCTCTCTGCCAGGAAATCCAGATAAGTAATAGCACAAGTCACACCCAATGCTAGACTCTTCTGCTGGCAGGCTGGAGCCAAGATATCTGGCAAGAATGGGAGGAAGGGAAGGCTTTGTGTCCAGACTGGTCAGTTTGGGACCATTTTGTCAGCCTGCAGTTAGTTCACATTTATAATTTCTGCGGTGCACAAATGTCTATAACATCAAACACTTGCTGGATGGGTTTTGCTGGGTACCCAGGGTTGCAGAAGCACGTATATCAATGGATACCCAGGAGAGGAACCATCAAGACCCTTCTTCATGGCAGTTTCTTGTGACAGAGAACACTGGATTCCTAAGCTTGCTGTGACTCTTTTTGATTACAGAAAGAGAAAAATTA